ATACACTCTTTTTTTTTTTTTACTTTCTGGCCCCTATCCTGACCTTTCGAATTAACTTCAAATACTTACCATCTGAGCTATGCATATGCACGACTATTCGATAGGGGGAAATCAACACCAACCTCACCATTGCAATATGATTTCCTCAGTGCGTAAATGTGGTTTATAAACTAACATTTTGGAAGTCGTAAATGTGAAAGGTTTAGTTTAGACCAACTTACTAGGCTATAATACATAGCAATTTGTATACAGTAATTGCAAACTTTTAAAGGAGAGAAGCATGCGTGTTTTGCCCCTCTCCTATAAATCTGCCCATACGTAATACTCCCTTAGATTTTCGATATATGTAGTAATGTCTCTCAGGATATCGCATACAATGACTGGAGAACAGCTCTATATTAATACTTTGTTAGATAGACTTATTGTTCCAATAAGGATTTGAACAAAAGAGCTTCTTTTTACCGCCCATACTCTCTTCCAACATAGCTATTAATTTCGCTACAGTAATACACATCAAATAATAACAATCACGTGATAGTAAATATAGTGACAATTAAAAATGATAATAGATTATCAAATAAGTGTATTGGTTCCAACATATTTAATATATAAACATATTCAATAGTCTATAAACCCATGTCTTGTAACACTTGTTGATATTCGGATGCATTTATTGTTACAATAATATTATGGCACCGTCTACTGCCTACTTTAATAACACACATTTCTGGAACACAGCTAGAAGGAATTAGTCAAGAGGGTGAACAATCTATGTCGTCATGGTAATTTAAAGATGAGAATCGAATATTCTTGTCATCGACTCAAGAGAACCTATGATTTGATCTTAATCTGTATTAAATTAATAAAGGCACTTTGGCGAGAGAAATAATGATAAGTGTTTTAAGAGATCAGAGATAGTGTTAGGAGTTAATTAATTTAAAGTATTGAACTTTTAAAATGGTATGACTCCAAGCAAGCAAATTCCACAATCTGTGTATGATTTATTCGTTATTTTAAGCACTTTCTCATTTTACCTTCTCAAAGGAGGTTATGTATTCACTGTTGTCTGTCTGTTAGCAATATGAAGTAAAACTAAATAATGCATCATCAAAAAATTTAGTGGGATGGTATATAATAATCTAATTAAGACATGATTAAACTTTATGAAGAAAAGGTTGAAGGACAAGTTAATGTCATGGGAATTTGATTTTTTACCTTCGAGCATAAATGAATATAATGGAGGCCTGAGTATTGTTCAGTTTTCAGGCAGAGGGCGGAGGTATGTACTCCGTTGAGTGACTACTCTAGTCCACTAATGCTATGATCGTTACTGTTTATCTATTTACCTTCATTTAATAATAAATTGAATGTTTGTTTTAATTTAGTTTGTAGGACTTGAACATTCAATCAGGACTGTGAATTGTTATTGCCAGTTCCTAAACTAACTAATGAGAAATGGTGGCCATCTTTAATTTTCCCCTATTTTTAATTACGAATTCGTCCCCTCTGAACATTAGTATGATTTGATAAAATAACACAGACGGTATTTTAGAAAATACATATTTTATATATAAAAAAAACGAAGGCATCAGCATTTATGCATAAGCCAATCAATTTTATTTTTAAACTTACAAAAATTTTATTTTTAAACTTACAATGTCTCTCAGCAACACTAAATGTGATGGGTTTTACTACTGATTATTGCACAATACTGCGGATATACCGTGATTTATAACAAATATATAGTTAATTATCTTATTCAGTATTTAAAATCTCCAATTACTCAAAATAACATTTCATTACTAAGCAACATAAAACAAATTTGGAATGATCTTGTTGGTAAACGTGAATGACAGAAGCACAGTATGACAGGGAGGCCCTAATCATGTTTACTTCCACAATTTATATCCACAAATTATAATTAAAAAAAAAAAAACATTTTATATTGCCCAATATCAGTTTTTATTGACTATTACGGTACTTGAATACATTGGATTTTTCAGCGTTAGCTTTAAAAAAAAGTCATTGCTTTGTTCTGACTTTATTTTATTTTTTTATTTTTTTTTTTGGCTTTTGCCACACTAGCGAAAAAGCCATTTGTTTAATTCTGATTTTGGATTTTTCCGCATTAGCGGAAAAAATGTTTTTGTTCTGATTTTTTAGGTTCCTTCACATCTGATAGCAAGTACACTCACCACTTGGTAGAACGATGTTTTATATATGCTTTATAAACCGAGCCTTTTATTGAGGCCTAGGGAGTAGTGTAGTTTTAGTCGTGAACAAAAGTTCTGCTGTGACAGGGATTGAATAGGTAGCACTTTTTTGACTAACGATATATTTTATTTTACGAGCTTTCACCCAAGTAAACGGGGCGACGTAATCACCTAATGAACCCCATTAACTGAGGCTCGTGAAGCTCGTGAAATCAAATACATCATCGTTAGTAAAAAAAAAAACCTACCTTACTCACGAATAAATATGACATCATTCAATATATTTTGAATACAGTATTAATAACGGGTACTGTAATTAAATTTATATGTTCAAAATAATTTTTTTTTGTACAAATAAACATTCTAATTATTTATAAATTTCCATCTTAATAGCTCTTCCAAAAAACCCAATATAATAACTTTACTATAATTAAGCTTGGAAGAACGCGCAGAACGGTGAGCGGTCGCTAATTGTTTTAGAGCGCTTTAAACTAACAACCCCTGTTAAACACAAAATTACTCTGATCTGCATGACGAATTTTCGGCCTCAACTACGTAGACAAACCAAAAGTCTACTGACCTCCACATGGTCAGGTTCATCATCAGTTTGAATGTAACTAACAGTTGATTGTAATTTTGATTTTATTTTCACATCATAATTTATTTAGTACGCTTTTATTTTTGTTTCTCATGTTTTTTTTACATGTATATGATATGATTACATCTAATTATAGTAATAAGGCTAATTATGGTAAGGAAAAGCCCTATGTTCTGTTTTTACCATCAGACAGGGCTAGTAGTTTTAGGGCTAATAGTTTTCCTTTGTTTGCTCACGGTTATTCTGCCCGGCGCTTCGGTCATTTTCTGTGCTTGGATCTGGTTCAAACTTTGTACAATCAAAAAGCGTTTATCAAAGATTAAATAATAAATATCACGTCATTCTACATATTCTAAATGTAACCTACAAAATAATGCATAGGCCTAATATATAGCCAACATTAGTACCTTTTTTAAAAAACATTCAGAGCACTTACGTTTTCCGTAAATTCGTCCACACAATTTAGCACATGCATCTCCTGTTAATCTTCGTTTATTACAGCGGTCGGAACAGGTAGCAGATGCTGAAAAGTATCAGAGGAAGGAAAAGTCATCAACATGCGGTAGTAACAGACATCAAAAACAACCCTTGATTACAATATCATCAATAAATGTACAAAACTAAAATTGTATTTATTACATACAACCCACGTAAGAAAAGAAGAGAGAGAGAGAGAGAGAGAGAGAGAGAGAGAGAGAAAAATAAAACAAAAATAAAAAAATAAAATAAAACAAAACACGCGGCCAGTGGGCCGGCCAACTCCGGCACGCACGACATTGCTAAGAAATAAATTATTTTTCCGGCCGATTTTTGGGAACATCGGGAGGGGGAGACTGATTGGGGAGGGGATAAAAGATTAAGTAAGGGCGCTATGATCCGTTTTCCTGGCGTTTTCTAACCATTGGCGCATTATACGGCCATCGACCGACCCGGGGAGCAGGCTCGGTCATCAGCTCTGCGTATTTCGAACATCGAATACATTGCAGTTAGCGCTCTAGTATTCTTATTATATCTCTATGTTATAACCGGACCCCTTTTCTCATTGCGGATTGAAATTACCACGCTCTGTACACCGGTAACTCCTGGAAATTTGTTTTACAAATGTACAATAACAGTCTCAGAGTGCTAATTTTCGGCATCTATTTTTTAAAATTTGGCATTTTTTTAGGGAAATTGGACTCCGCGTCAAGGAATTTCCACAATGGCATTGCATGACATTTAACATCCCCACTTATTTTTTTTTTGCTCGGAAAATTTATAGTGGTTTGCACCTGTAGTGCAAGTTTTTGTTTTATTCCCCACCCTTCCACCTTGTTGCTGTATTCCCTCATTTTTACAAAACAAAGCAATATTAATAGGCCTACAATTAGGAAGACTAGTAGACCTTATAAAATGGGTGTGACTGGCATAGAAACAAAATGTGGAAGTACGCAGTAAACATTGTGTCGTCACTGGTCTCAACAGCTTTAAACTGGCCACCAGCTTAAAAAGGTTGAATACCCGGGATGTAATGCATTATATGGGCCCTATTTAAAAAAGAAAAACAAAGGATAGTTGTGGGCTATACAAAGTTAAAACAATGTATGTTATTATTTCAAATACCAAATGTACAGTTCCTACATGGGGCGGTTTTAGGGTGCTGAGCATTTTGAAACCTTTCTTTAAAAAAGAAAAAATTGTTGAAAATGTGCGGGCAAAAAAAAAAATAGAAAGGGCGTTGGCGAAAATGTACTTGCTGTACTTTTGATGGCTGATGATGTACATACAGTATCGATTAAAATTACTTGCAGTAGAATACGGTAACAATACTTTTTCAACAGAAAGATTTATCAAAAATAACAATTTTAGGGGCACTTGCTTATCTAGTGGACACCAAGTCAATAATACACCATTCCAATTAATCAAACCAAATCAGTAGTCATTATTATATCATTTCTAAGGTGAACATGGTCAATAACACAATAACATAATTATGATTTGTAATCCTTTATCCTTGATCAATTTTATTGTGATTTCCATTGAGTTGTGCTTTTTTGGAGACAATAAATTTCAACTTGTATCTTGTACCATGTATCACCCAAATAGAAACACGGTCAATTACACACCACTCCAGTGATGATATTTATCTGTAAACATATTAAGAAACATTTATATTTTTAAAGTTTTTTTTTTATATGGAATAGTAACAAATAATATTAATAATTTAATCTTCAATTTATAATTAATATAAATTCACTGTACATTTTTACACTCGATTTTTACTTTTATTTATATAATTTTGTATTTTTAAAATATTTTTTACTTCTTAACGTGACAAAGAATAGCATCACAGTACAAGTAAGCATGAACATGCAAACAAAAAGTGAAGAAATGTTATTTAAAAGTTTCAGATAATGACAGTTTTATTTTAGTAAATTAATTAATATATAACCTTCTTGACATCTTTACATTTTACATCACCTTTTTTGCTATTAATATAAATTTCACAATCAATAGTGTTTTTTAATGCACAGATAAATGTTTTCCAATGATTTACGTCTCGTAGGTATATTTAGTTAAGTTCGAGAAGAATTATTTGCTTATATATTGCAACGGTACACACTTCATTTATTGTAAAAAGATCGGCACTAAGCACAGTGTCTTTATATGCCAAGTAGTACCGGTATCAACTAACGATATTAATCATTTTATAAACATTATAATGCTTGCGGTACTGTACGCCACGTAGATAAACATAGTTCCATAATTCATAAACAGTATATAGCAGTCATAGAACATTGTGTTTTTTCATTTCATTTTCATTTGACTTGATTTCATTTCTTTGGGCACGAGAGCCAATTATATGCCAAGTGAACTTAAATATTGTCCTAAGTGGCATATACAAAACAACATGGGACTTAATAGACCAGTACACCGGGGTACTCTTCTCGATGGCTGTATTGGGTCGTTTAAAGTGCACACGAGCCAAATGCATACACTGGGCCTACGGTTTAAAGACCATTTGCGAGTTAGCCGTTCGAACCAGCATTGACATTAGAGTTTGAAGGTTACGGTGCTCCAGACTTAACCGCTCGGCCAATGAACTCGCAATCATCTATAATTATGTCCACAATAGCTACACAAGTCAGTATGTCAGCTTTAAAAAAAGTGTTTTATTAGTTGGAATAACTTAGTGGAGGAATTTGAAATTAAATTAAGCATAGGCCTAATTGTTTTTATTTTTTTAAATTTTTTTATTTTCTGTTTCAAACCATATTCCAATAAACTGAGTAATCATTGAGTTAAAATTCCCATTCGATTTTGAAATTGGATGAAAAAAAAAACAGAGTTTACAAAGAAATTATAGATTATTTTTTATTTAGCCCAACAACAACATACTGATGGAAACACTTACATGAAGCATGTTTTTCATTGATATGTAAATAATAAAACTGATTTAAGTTCTTTAGGTATAGATTCAAGTACAAATGTATATTCACTTATCCAATTATTATTTTTAACAATTTTCTAGCATTGTTAGTAGTCTAATTGTCAACAACAATATCTTAAATTTTAACAATTTTTGAGCCATATCAGTTGTATAGAAGAGAATAAACATTTATGTTGATATATGTGTTACCGCGTAGAATTTGTTCAACTCTTTGGTTGTAGTTATTTTCTTGATTATTTATATTATTATTATACTTAATTGAAAGCAAGGCTCTGTAGAAAAAAAAAATTATCTGTTGTATACCTGTTTTGTTCAACTATTCGGTTGTACTTATTTTCTTGATTTTTTATATTATTATTATACTTAATTGAAAGCAAGTCTCTGAAGAAAAAAAAAACAATTGTATCTGTTGTATACCTGTTTTTTGTCTTTTATTTTCAAGAGAAAAAAAAAGCATAGGATACAGATGCAGATTTTACAATATTTAAAAACTTGGGCATACCATCATTTTTTCCACCAGCTGTTTAACATCAAGAATATATACTGTCTACTAAGCTACAGCTGTATGCCCAATGTAAAAAGTGTAATTAACAATCACAATAAAATAGTACTGTCAAATGAAAAAAAACAAAGCTGTGGACACTAGCACAAATGCGTGTAACTGCCGTGTAAAAAGCGAATGCCAACTACCCGGCAAGTGTTTAACCGAAGGCATAGTGTACCAAGCAACTGTAACAAGAGAGGACAGTAATAAGCACGAGACATACATAGGCTTAACTCAAAATCAGTTCAAAACTAGATTTAGAAATCATATGAATTCATTTCGAAATGTAAATAAGAGAAACAGCACAGAGCTAAGTAAATATATCTGGTCCCTTAAGGATTCTAACGTAGAATTTACTGTTAAGTGGAGAATTATGAAACGCAGTAAGCCATATTCAAACACGAATATACGCTGCAATCTTTGTTTATATGAAAAGTATTTAATTATATGTCATCCAGACCTATGCTCACTCAATAGCAAGAATGAGTTAGTGTCAAATTGTCGTCATAGAAAGAAATATTTAATTAGCAACAGATAATGCAACAGTGAACAATAGGCCTCTATAACATGGTATCAGTCCGACTCCCTGATTAGCCATTAAATTATAATCCCTGGATCACACCAATAAACAATAGCCTTTGTAAAATAGTAATTTTCGACTTCCTGATTAGCCATTTAAGATATAAACCCTCGGATATTGTGTCATTCATGTTTTACAATTCGCATGATGAGTGTGGCCCTGTGTGGTCATATGAAACAAATTTGTAGCGATTAAAGATATGAAGTAACCAAGTTCATCTGCTATTGTTTTATTTCTATTAAGCTCTATCTGAGATATCGAGCACTCTACGTCATAGATGATCTGGAACATCTCATTTATATATATATATATATATATATATATGTATATATATATATAAGTATATATATATGTATATACATATATTATATATAAATCCTAATAAAACTGGATTTAAGTACCTTAAAATAAAAATTAGATACTTTTGTATTTATTGATATGTGTAAAAGATTAATGTTTGTCATCTTAAATAACAATTGCTCTGATGTAATCTTATTTTTGTAAGAGGAATAATTTTCCATATGGAATAATCTGCTTTCATAAGTTTTATTTTTGTCCATGTTATATTCTGCAATTCAAGCTAAAATCAGGTAAGTTAATTCCACCTGGTTCAATGGATCCAATCATTGTTTTCCTTTTATTTAAGATTGTAATGCTTAACAAGGTGGCGTATCACATATCTGCTTTGTGTTGACTGTATGATTCAAGTACTACTTGCATAATAGTGTACAAATAATTGGATTTGAATTTCAAACTAGTGTCCTATTATTTTTTATATACAATACGATAACTTACAAATAAAGATAAAACTTATTTCTTGCCATTTATTTGAGATAAATAAAATGTTAACAATGATTGAAATCAAGATGCCTTGGTTTTCATATCGTCTCCGAAAAGAGTTAGTTGACTTAATGGTTTGTGTTTTTTTTTCCAATTCGAATTTTATAAGATATTCTACAACCTCCTAAA